AAGATGGAGGTAGAGAAAGAAAGAAAAATACAAATAAAGAAAGGCACCGAATACCCTTGGGACTTGCACCAAGAGACCAGAAAAGAGCTGACAGGCAGGACAAAGATGGAAGGCCAGGTACACAAATGATAAGCTGCCGCCACCTCCAATAAATGGGGGGCTGACTCACTGCAAAGCACCATGTACCCACACCATGCACCAACATATACACAAATATGCGTGTGTGTGCTCTCTAGAGTCACTGCAGCAGTCACACTAGGGTCATTACAGAGAACAATAGATCCACACACCCCCTTCTACCTCTGAGCTAACCGAGAATAAGGCAACTGTCTGCCCGCCGCAAAGATAAGACCTTATAGGATTGGTTGAGGACAAGTGGACAGATAGAAAGGGTCTGCGCATAGAGTACAGGACGAAATGATGTCTCGCAGAGGTGCCCAAAAGCAATGCAGCTATGGCAAGTTCTGGGTGAGGGGAAAGCGCCCCCACCCTGTAAGAGCAGCTGGGAACAGAGGCCCCCCGGGGTCCTCTATCTTTCCACAGCCCCCTCCTTGATTCTTTCTTACCAAGGTTGCTCTCAATCCTCTCCTTTCCTCTCTCTCCTTCTTTCTCTTTCCAAATACAGTGTGTTCTTTCATTAAACTTTGCCCCTCTAGTTTTGTACTGGGGATGTGTGTACGATCCCCGAGGGCCTCTTGGACAGCAGACCAGTAATGCTCATCTCCCAGATGGCACATTTTGGCTCCCTGACCAGGAGCCAGACGTGACCCCTAAAAAGCACAGACTTGGGACACCTCAGCATCCCACTTACCATCCTTCATATGCCCAGAGTCCATTGTAAAAGGCCAGGCTGATGCCGCCCACAGATGCTGGTGTACCCGCAAAGGAATTTTCAAAATTTTTTGTATTTCCTGTAATCGACCCAGACACGGAGACCAAGGGTCAGCTGAGCAGTTTCCATTCTGCACTGCTTTCCCCGAGAGCTGGCGTAGGACACGCACTGAGAAGCTGGCAGCTGAGTTTGTGCCAGACTTAGACACAGTTGGGTTGTGTGTGTGCATGTGTATGCATGTGTGTGTGTTTCTCTGCATGTGTGTACGTGTGTATATGTGTGTGTATGTGCTGTGTGGCACCCACTCTCCTTTCCCATCTTCCTGCATTTACCTTGGGCCAGGAGGACCAGGCCGCTGATGATGATGATGACCACGATCACCATCTTGGCTGTGGTGAAGAAATTCTGGACGTAGCTCCCCAGCTTCGCACTCAGCGCGTTCACGGTGATGATGAGCCCTGGGAGGGGTGGGGTGGGCCACACTCCGTGCTCAGGTGTCCATGTGGCCCTGGAATCTCCCTTCTACCTCTCCAACCTCCCCCTCACACTGTGTCCCAGGGCACAGAGCGCAGATCCAAAGGAGGGAGTGCAAAGACCTTTACAGTGCCCCTGATGGCAACCTTTGAAAATAAGCCTCACCTCAGAGCGCAAAACAGAAGCAGCAGCCAGGCCCTGAGTGGAGGGAGCTGACTGGTGATTGGGACAGCACAGCACTCAGCAGCCCTCCCTGCAGCCCCTGACAGATCTAGGTGCTGCTCAGCACGCAGGGTGCCCACCAGTCCTGCTTCCCCAGAGCCTCCAGGCCCCAGCGCCTATTTCTGGGTGGGTACAGAGGATCTGAGTCTAGCATCCCCGGCCACGGCCTCTGCCGAGCCACCTCTGACCCCTCCCAGGATGTCAGGCTTGGACACTCACAGATGGCAGCGGCACCGAGGCATTTAATGACCAGTTCGGGAGGCTTGCAGCCTGAGTAGAAGGCCGCACACACGTACTCAGCAAAGCTGAGGCAGACGATGGCAAAGGATGAGGGCCTCATCACTATCAAGCTGGCCCAGGAGAAGAGGTAGGCAGGGATGGGGCCGAAGGCTTCCATCAGGTATGAGTACTCGCCTCCCGACTTGGTGATCGTCGTGCCAAGCTCTGCAAGGCACAGAGCTCCTGGAACACAGAGAGGTAGGACCTCCCTCAGACCCTCCTGAGAGGTCATCCTTCCCGTGTGGGCGCTGTGTCACATAGGCCCAAGTCCTCTGGCAGTGGATGGTCCTGAATTCTGGCCACTGGACATGGCAGCCTGATTTACCTTGATTTGCCACCCATGCATTGAAAGGGAATGGAGCCAGGTGTGGTGGTGCAGCCTGTGATCCCAGCACTCTGGGAGGCTGAGGCAGGAGGATTGCAGGGTTGAGCCAAGACTGGGGAATTTAGTGACTTAGTGAAACCCTGTCTGACAATTAAAAATGGGCTGGGGATGTAGCTCAATGAGAAAGACCTGGGTTCGGTCCCTAATACCAAAAAGGGGTGGCGGGACCTGGCATCAGGAAGGACAATGCTTATCCCCAGGTTCCATGTAGAAGGGGGCCAGGAGGCGGAGTCTGTGTTACCCAGTGTGGCGAGCACCCCGCAGGCCGCCCAGATGATGAGACAGGGCCCCACGGTTCCTGTGTTGCTGAGCACAGACTTGGGGGAAATGAAGATCCCGGAGCCGATGATGGTGCCCACGATGATGCAGACGCCGCTGAACAGGCCCACCTGGGACGGGGAGGAGGAAGAGGAGCTAATGCCGCCACCCAGAGGCTCATGGCAGTGGTGCCCCTAACTGTGGGTCTGCCCAGCTCAGAGGGCGCCCCATGTTGCAGGCATATCCACCCTGAGGTGCTGTCGTGATTCCACCAGGACACTGTTCCTTGGGGCTCTGCACGTATTAACTGGTGAATCTGTGCTGGGCGTGATGTTGGGCACTGTAATTGTGGCACTCTGGAAGGCTGGGGCACAGAAAGACTGCTCATGACCAGAGTTACACAGCCAGGCCCAGGTTCCGAGCTCCTGGCCACCAGCCCTTGGTGAAACCCTGTCTGAAAATTAAAATTAAAATTAGCCTCCCCAACAGAGGCCCTTGGGAGGACCCTCTTCACTGGGCAGAGCACAAGGGAGTTTTCACCAAGGAAATGAGGCTCAGGATCTGGAGTCCTGGCAAGAGGAGCCACGTGCATGAGAGACGCCTCCAAGGGATGGAACCTGCTGGGGACTGGGACCTCTCTGTCATAACACTGTGTAGGGTGGGAGCTTTCTAAGGGTGCGAGCTACACTCAGCTGAGGTATGCACTGTCCCATTGCATCCATGTGAGGGAGAAGGACAGGCTGTGGGAATCCACAGGAATAGAAATTGTAGACTGAGCACCTGCCTGGTGAGGGGACTGTCTGGGTAAGAGCCTTTTCAGCATGCATCAAAGATTTGCACATTTCATCATATGTAAATTATGTACCAATCCATGGGTGTGTGTGTGTCTGTGTGGTGCTAGGGACTGAACCCAAGGCCTTCCTGCAGAGGTACATCCCTAGCCCTTCTGTATTTTTTATTTTAAGACAGGATCTCACTAAGTTGGGCAGAGCTCATACTTGTGATGTTCTTACCTCAGGCTCCCAAATGCTAGGGTTACAGAGCAAGCCAAAAACAGGTCTTTATTTTATTAGGATTTTTTTTTCTTTTTTAAAGACCAGGTCTTACTATGCAGTTCAGGGTAGTCCTGAGCTCACTGTGTAGTTTAGGCCAGCTTCAAACTTGCAGGAATCCTGCTTCCTCAGCCTCCTTAGTACTGGGATTGCAGGCCTGTGCCACCATGCCTAGTGTTTAATACGCAGAGCATAGGAGAGCACAGCAGGGAGCTCCCTGTCTGGGCAGAGCCTGCACTTGCAGGGGTCAGATCCCAGGGGCAAGGAGGACCATGCTACAGGTGGGTCACTATGGGACTAGACAGGCCTACACAGCAGGGTCCCTGAGGTGCAGACTCCACTTCCCGAAGCCTCAGAGCCCTGTGTGTGAGAGGCAGGTGAAGTGGCCTGAGCTTCCTCCTGGAGGTGCCATCGGCCTCAGCACCCTGTGGCCCAAATTCCTCCTGCAGAAGGCTGCTGCTCCCTGATTTGAAGAAGAGAGGGCTGCCATTCATCCTGGCACTGCGGCCTAACTTCATTTGGGACAAGCTTGAGGTTTGCTCAGTTCTGCTGTGTGGCTGAGGGCCACAAGGTGCCAGGGACATTGCTGGCATCCAGCCAGGGTCTGGTAGAAGAAGAAAGTTGCTACCCATTCCTGACTCCTGGGGACAGAGATGCAGCCAATGAGCAGTCAGGCCATGCCATCTCTGCTGAGTCCTCTCTCCTGTCAGCTCTCAGGGATCCTATAGGGTTGCACACAAGCCTCAGCCCAATTACCCTGCGCTGACAGCCTTCAGAGTTCTGATGTCATCCTGAGCTGCTGGGGGTGGGGCACTTTCGTCACCCATGGGCCTGCAGCCTCCTCTCCATGTCCAGCGCCTGCTGCCCACACCCACCCGGACGGGCTCAGCGTGCAGCTCCTTTTTCTTTCTTCTAATTTTTGGTCTTGGGGATGGAACTCAGGACCTTCCCACCCAGCTCCATCCCCAGCCCTTCATTTTGAGACAGGGTCTTGCTAAGTCACCATGCTGCCCAGGCTGGGCTGGAACTTCCAGTCCTCCTGCCTCAGCTGCCCAACAACTTCCCAGTGCTGCAATTACAGGTATGAGCCACTAAGCCTGGCTATCCTGCTCCTCCACCCCTACCCTTAAGCTCCTTTCCTTCCAGGCTCAGGAAAAGCCCTATCTCCTTACCATACGTCAGTTCAGAGTGTTCATCCCTGTCCTATCTATGCAAGCTGCACCTTTGCAGTGATACCCCAAGACAGAGCACTGCTGCTGGAGGCCCCGTGATGGCCAGCTCCAGGACAGTCGTGTGATAAGAGGCTCAGACGTTTGCTGAAGATAAGTAGAGGGGACTTGACCACCAGAAGGCCCCCTCTGACCCCCCCTGAAAAGGCCATCGGTTTAAGCAAATACTAGGCCCTCAGTCCCTCTCCAATTCATGGAAGCACACAAGTGAAGTTTGCGCGAGACACAGGAACTTCAAGAGTACAGAGTTCACCGGAGAGGGGACCATGGGTAGGTCCAGAGCATGGTTCATTTAAAGACGAACTGTATGAGTGAAAAGCCACGCACTTCAGTGAGGCATGAGATCAGCAGGGCCTCCACTGCTTCTGCCTTCATCCAGATAGCCCCACCCAAGCCTGGGAAAGTCCCACAGGAAACAGGCAGCCTCACCTCTTTCTGGAGATTTGTGACCTTGGGTTCCTTGCTCTGGATGGAGCGTTCATTCTCCATGCGTTTTCTTGGGCTCGTCTCCTGCCCCATCTTTCCCTCCTGCCAGTTCCACGAGGCTGCAAGGAGAGCACGGGCTGGAGCTTGATCCAGCAAAAGCAGACAAGATGCAAAGCAGAGCTCAGCCAGGGCTCAGTTGGGACTGGTGCACCCACATGCAGGGTACAGACTCCCAAAGCAAAGGTCAGCTCGGGTTTTAGCGGGGTGCTGGTGGCAGGCTGGGGAGAATTTGCTCAGCCCCATAGAGAAAACGCAGCCATTGGTAATATTGGAGCTGCAGGAAACAGATTCCTGAAGCTCAGGGGCTTCTTTTGCTCCTGGCCAGTCTGCCTCCCAGCCCCCTGGCACCTGTGCCAGGTTGCTCTCTGTGAATCCTTGACTGTGACTTGCTTGAAACTTCTCCTGCCTCCCTCATCTGGTGTCTTTGTTTTAAAAAGTAAACAACTGTTTAAAACATACTGGAATATACTTAGTGGAATCATTCCAAGCAAGGATGGTTTTCTTATAATTCCTTCCCAAATTTAAGGCCCCTGAGGCACAACTGATCCGCAGTATGGGTACAGAGCTTTCCCATTCAAAGGATGCAAAGAATAAAAACAATTGCTGCGGAAAACCAGTCCTAAATGGTCACGTCCTAGCTCGCTCCAAATGAAACCTGTGTGCAGGCCAGGCCACCCAGCCAGGAGAGCAGCAGGCCTCCTCATCACCCGGCCGGCCTTACCTTTCTCCTTGACCTTGTGGAGCCAGGGGAGCTGCCAGCCCTGCTGCCTGCCTGTGACTGTGGACCAGCCCGGGAAGGGCCACATCTTGTGCCCAAGAGTGGAGGAAGCCAAAGGTACAGAGGTCAGCAAAGGTAATTATTAAACCTCCCCCAGCTCCTTTTTCTAAGCAGTGAAGCTTAGATAGACCACACCAACGAGGGAGAGTCAGGCAAGCCAGTTTCCTCCAAAAATGTTTTTGTATACATATTTTCATCTACATTTTTAAAAAATAGATTATCCCAGATCAGCTCCATCAACTAAGAAAAAAATCTCTGCAAAGTATAGAAATTCTGTTTGCTTTCATCTTGGGGAATCAGGGGAGATAAACTTTGGAATCAATTCACACATTATCTTAATGGGCCATATTTACAACTCAAGGCAGGTAGCAGAACGGTTTCTGGTGCGTAGGTAACTTGACAGTTGTTGTTCTATCCCATGACAAATCTCCACACAGAGGATCAGGTGTGGAGGTAGATGAGCCTTCCTGCAGAAGATGGGGTGATGTCAGGAGGCCTCCTGCAGGCTTCTGCTCTGTGTGGCCTGCAGGTCTACCTGTGTGTTGTCAGGTTTGGTAGAGGCATGCCATTTTAGGAAGGGGCCAACTGAACTCAGGACTTGGAATAGCCATGGGTTGGCCTCAACTCAGAGCTCCCAGGGACATGGTGAGGGACAACCCAGGGAGACATCCAGGATCAGGGAGCTGAGGTCATGCTGGCAAGAGACACCCAGAGTGTTGTAGGATGAACAACACGGGCCGCAAACTCACAGTCAGGGGCCAGGATCAGAGTGGCCTGAGAGTCTGTGGAGCTGAAAGCACCAGAATGGGCATCTGGCCTTATTCCTACTGCAGGCTTGCTGGGATTATGCATGATGGACCTGTGCTCTGTCTGCCTCCTTTGTCTACCATAGACAGTGGAGACAGACCCAGAATTGGACACTGTCACAGAACCATACACCCCAGAAGATGGCCACAGGCTTCAAATTGCAGAGAAATCTCTTTTTTCTTTTCTTGGTTTTTAAAAAATTGTTTGTTTTTGTTTTTTCATGAGTGTGAACATTGTTTTAGTTTTCTTTTGCTCTTCTTTTTGTTTTTTTTTTTCTCTTTCATTCTTTCCTCCTGTCTTTCACAGTATCCCAAGTCTTGGATAGTCTTCCTTTGTCCTTCAGCCTTGCTTTCTCTTCTTTTATTTCACTCTCTTTCCTCATATCTTTTAAAATATTCTCCCCACAGGCTAAAAATGCTCTATTAAGGATATATTTACTGTATATAACTTTCTTATTTGTTTTAGATTTTGTGATACAACTATAAATTTTGTACCTATGGTTAAAGATGGCAAATTAACAGTTACTAGTATTCATCACTTTTTAGACTGTGCTTCATGGTCTTGTTATTGCTGATTCTACTACTCTAGCCACATTGATACAGTTATTGTGATCAGTTCTTTGTCCTTGTGTACCAATATCAAGGTTATTGGGAGTCATAAGCAATACCATAGTCCGAAGAACTGGGTGCTAGGCCAAACAGGCTGCAACCTCTCATCCCTAATAAAATGAAGAGGCAGGATCTTGGGACAGACTCAAAAGCTGAAAGCCAGCTCTATCTAGAAGACATCATAAAAAGTAATCATTTCTTAAGGATGTCTTGATGTTAGCAATAAAGCTATCTCTCAGAAGGAATGCACAATCATCAACACAGAAAAAAAAAAA